CGGCAAGATTCCTGCAGTAAATCTTGCAAGATATTGTCTGTTAACATTTAATGCGTGTCACCATGGTACAGTAAATAATTCCTTCTGTACAACACCTAGAACTTGTCTCATTTTATTATTCATTGAACACTGGCAAAGACAAAATCAAAACCCAGCTCGTCTTGTGTATCAAACGATATGACTGAGATCATAAAGAACTTCATGATTATGTCAGATTAACACTGTCCATCTCACGTGGTGAGATGGCATTCAGCTAGTCCTGGCATTCAGCTACGAAACAGGCATTCCTCAGAGTTGGACACATAAGCTTCACCATACTGCTTCATACTAATGACCCCTGTGCTCTCCCCTCATTGGATCTGTCGCTTCTAACAGTGTCCCAGCACTGCTCTCCCCTATCATTTTTCTGGACCCCATCTTTCCGCACGTGCTGTGAATTCCACCTTCTACAATCACCTTTAATGCCTGGTGCTACATGCTGAAATGAAACTTATTACGATCAGATGACAAAAAGTCATCATTTTAATGACTTCACAGAGCATAATTGGTATTGTAACACGTACTTTAAATGGCTGTTTAAGTGACATACGGGCTCATTATCTTCACCCTACAGTCAAATTGCCCCCTTCCCAAATAAAACAACACCATTTAATTCAAGTAATTATTTGCTTCTACAACAGCTTTTCCATAACATATTCACACACGATTTAAGGAAATAAAAGCCAAGAAGAAAGAAACCAACACATTTGTAGGGCTCTACCAAGTTATTTGTACTTTGATATACTGCAGGCAGAAAAGCTTACAGAACACCCTCCAGGCTCAGAACATCCAAATGAAGACACTACCTTGGTTGCTTTGGTGCCAGGAATTCCCTGTCCTCAGAATGAAGAAATATTAACTGTTGTAAGCCAACCTCCTACTTTTTACAGTTCTGAAGTTACTCCCAAAGTATTCAGACTGCAACTTGAGTTTTCTAGAAAGAAAGAATGCAGTGGCAGATTTGAGGCTTTGCTCCACACCAAGGCAGCTATGCTGCTTTTCTTTAATCATACCCAATATCCTGCAAACATTTAAGAAATGAACTACTGTTCTTCATGTTGTTACAGGCACGAGAATGAGATGCAGTGGGAAAGCACATGGGTGGAACTCACGAGTGATGCAAACACAAACTGCAGAGTATGCACTGGAGAGGATTGAGAAAAAAGTATCAACAGGTAGAAGGAGTTTCAATGTGGGATTCAATAACTGAAGTCACAGAAAGATGATACCTCACAAATTAAGTGAAGCTGCACAGGGCAAGAGAGAACAGCATGTAATGGTAGCAAAACAAACACCAAACTCGTGCTCCAATACATATTAATGATGTGTGTCTGATTTTCTTTGGGCCTTTGTGCCTTTAAAAGCAGAGGATAAATATTTACTGTGCTAGATGCATACAAAATTACTATGCTGTGTGCTACTTTTAGCCAAATTTTGTCTTCTTAGTATAGTATTCAGCAAGATACCATACCGGATTTGAGCATATGCTTGCTTCATTAGCACTTACACTTGCAGGGGAGAGAGATTGAATGCAATTTCTGTGAATGCTACAAAAGATGTATGCCAGTATGGATGGAAATATACTCATACCGTGCAGTGAGAAATTATTGAGTTATTTTAATCTCAGAGATCTTTATCAGAGATTGAAATAATCCAATTTTTCATGAAAGATACTCCAGTGTATCCAGATCTAATCATCATAATTGGAAACAATTTTGTTGGAAGAATGTGTTAAGACTGATCAATAAGAAACCCTCATGGTAGGCAGCATACAAACAAATCAGAAGCAGTAGCCAACTCCCATCTTAAATTATGACCAAAGTATGAAAATTTTAAGGGAAGGTTCAAAAGTAGAACCTTCAAAAGGAATAAAAGAAGCCCAAACTATGGCCCTGCCCAGGATCCAGGGGTGAGACTTCAGAAAGGAGTAAAACACAACACTGACAACATACAGAGTGGTTTCAAAGCTTTGGAATTTGGGAATTCTGTGCTTGATATCACCGCCCACCAATGAAACACCAAGGCAAACAAATCTGCAAAAAAAAAAAGAATGCAGGTGGGAAACTTTCCCTGTCCCTAAATGAAAGTCAAAGGCTCCTCCTGAAGTTGCTTACACGTTTCTGCAGGAATTGTCTAAAGTGCTGCCTGTTTGCTTCTGATCCCATGATGCAACTTCCAGCCTTCAAGTAAGCTTCCTAATCCTTCGTGGTTATGGCTGCATGCTGCCAGTGTCATTTTGTGTTTGATCCCCCTGCTCTCACAACGTGCTGCCGTGCAACTCCAGATGAACTCTGGTAGCGCTGGCCATGAAATCACTCACTGCAATTTGTTTGCATATATATTGAAAAATGAAGTGATGTTAGTTGAGATTGGGTGGGGGGAGAGAAAAGAAAAAAACCCAACTCTGTTGCCTGCAATCCATAACCTCAGCAACCTGCTGCTTAACTCTGCAGGGGGCTCTTCTGTCCTGTCCATACCTTGTCTCTGTCCACGGGTCGCACAGCAATATCTAGTAAAACAGAATTAACTTGGAGTTTATGCAGCACCAAGTTTATTGCAGAGATAAACAGAGTGGTCATAGGTCAAAGAAACATAATGAATGGGATCAGTGTATTTCAGTCTGAAATCACGAGGAGCACACAAGAAGCTGATGCTCGAGTGCCTGACCCCTGTCAAGCTGCATCCCTTCCATTCACAAAGCCCAAGATGACTGCTGGAGGATAACAGTGAAATTGCACTGACTTCTGCAGGACTGTGCCAGCTGAGGGCCTGGCACAACTATCATAGTGTGAGGTCTGACAGACTCAAGTGGAAGAAAAGGATTCAATCTTAGGAAAAGTGAAAAAACAGTATCCTGTATCAAAAGCCCCACTAGCTGAATGTTCCAAAGTGATGGAGAACAAATCCTGGTCCTTTACTGCACATCCAGACTGATGACTACACAGCACCCGGAAGCATTCATTTTATATCTGGGAGTGGTCCCAGCAAAGGACTGAAGTGCTGGGACTTAGCCACAGCGCTATATTGCCTATGTTTATAATTAAGCTCCAGCTCTCATAGTCCCTCATCATAATCACCATGATGCACTGACTGATCTCTGCCAGCTTGGCAATAACTGCCTTCCTCCTGGCTTCACCATGCAGCCCCTCAGCTGCCATTTGTCCCCAAAGCATTGGCACAGGCTGCCCATAGGGGTGGTGGGGTCACCATCCCTGGAGGTGTTCCAGAACTGTGGAGATGTGGCACTGAGGCTCACGGTCAGTGGGCACGGTGGGATGGGCTGAGGTTGGACTTGGGGATCTTAGAGTCTTTCCAACCTTAATGATTCAATAATTTTGTCTTGGGGAATGCTTTGCCAGAAGGTATGTTTTCCTGCTGCCTTTTTTCACTGTGCTTCATCTGATCCTTATGCTACACTCAGAATTAAAAAGCACTGTGGCTGTGAAGGTTAATAATTGACAATGGACAGTGCAGATATCTCAGCTGAAAGCTGAAAGTCAGTGATGCTCAACACATAATTGTCCAGTACAGCTATATTTGTTTCAGGTATAGTGCAGAACATTTTCTCATGCCCAAGATATTACTCTCTTACGATCGCAGGAGTATCTGAACCAGATCAGCCTGCAAATGCTTCTTGAGGAAATTGGGTTTCTCCGCTCTATTAGGAGCATTCCATTTTTATGATTAAAATCAGAAAACAATGTTCTTCCCAGTTAAAGTGAAATGTGCAAAATATGACTTTCCTATAACTAGATTTCCAAATACTTATCTAAAGTGCTCTGAAAAGGTATTAATAAATAAGGATGAAAAATGAAAGCTGCATAGCAAACGTTTCATAAAGTGTATTTGCTCTCTGAGTTATGGACAACATGATTTAGAGAAATAATAATAATACTTTACACTTCTGCTCCTTTCAATTGACACGCTTCCATAAATAAAATGCTGAGCCTTAATCAGAAAGGAAGGTATCATGTTCTCCATTACACAAAATTAGGCAAAAATGAAGGCGAAAACAAATAATCAGCCAACAGTTAAAGCCACAGCCAAGACATTTCTGCAAAGACCCTTACTGACTAAAATTTGTTGCTGTGTGCTCAAACCAAAGGGACGCCAAACTATTGTTAAAATTAAGTGTGTTAAGTGTGGTATGGTTGGGATGGTTTGGATAAGTTGTCGTTCCGTGAATAAAAAAAGCAATAAAAATAGGTGGATTAACCAAGATTGTATCTCATTCTGAGAAAATGTACCATTTTGGAAGGTCTTGATAGCAGAATGAGAAAAGACAACTGGAAGATTCTAAAAAAGGTATCTAGCCAACTGGATCCTGCCATCACAATAGATGTTAGGCAGCAAAACACTTGTGATAGTCTGCATTGAAAGGATTTAACCTAGCATCACACAGGCAGGTTGGGGCTGAAGTCCCTGGGGCACCACAGTTGGCTGGACCTATCTGCATTTGTATCTCAGCAGCTAAGCCAGCTAACAGTCAAACTTTTTGGGTGGTTGGTGACTCACAGAACACACTGCAGGGAAGGAAAATTATGTTTTCACTCTCGGATGTGAGCGTTGGTTATACAACAACCGCCAAAAAGAATCCAACAATGAGGTACATACAGAAAAATGTGACAAGTGGAAATAACTGAGAGGCCTTTTCCTCAACACAATCAAAAACCCCTTGGTTCCAGATCTTTGCATCTTCCAGATCACAAAAACAAGGGAGCAATAGGCTTTTGCAGGTTACAAAGGCCTGAAAATGTGCCATGTGGCTTGCGATGAAGGGCAGCTGGGAGGAAAAGAGGACAGTTGAATTCTGTTACCAAAAATAATCATAAAAGTCCTTGAGGCAAAAAGAAATTAAAAAAAAAATAAATAAGAGGGGATTACTTGGCATACAGGGGTATGCAGGAAGCTCTGAAGGACCAGAATAATACACCATCAAAACACAACTGTTTAAAGAGTACCTTTTCTTCTCTGCTCAGGTTGTTGTCTTTTGTTCCATCTCATTTCAGTGACCATCAATACATCTGTCTTTTCCCTTCTCAGCTGGAAGAGGTTGACAGTAATCCAATTGGATACAAGCCCAGATGCACTTCTTTCTTCGTTCCTTCTTTGTAGCCTGTATAAAAAAACAACAAAACCCAGACAAGACAAGCATTACTTACAATTCAAAGTCAACCTCTATTTCAAACAAACCCCCCAATCAAACATGAAAATAACACCAAAAATCTACTACAGAAATTAAGCTGATAAAAATTATTTCATTTCTCCACAATTTTTGTTCACTCTTAATATTGAGCAGAGCAATGTGACTTGAAAATCGACTCTGCTAAGTATAGAATCATGGGATCAATAAGGTAGGAAAAGACCTCCAAGATCATCAAGTCCAACCATCAACCCATCATCACCATGCCCACTAACCACATCCCTCAGTGCCACATACACCCTTTTCTATATATATAGTGCATAGAAGTATTCTGATCCATTTTTAATTAGCTAATAACACTGAACTCTGCAGAAATAGGCAGCCAGGTCCATGGTTTCACATGCACACATAGACATGCTGGGCTTGGAAAGGACCCTTCAGAGATCATCTGGTCCAACCCCTCTTGGCTACAGAAGGTTGCTCACAACTTTGTCTCTAAGGACAGAGAGTCCACAGCTTCTTTCTATGGATTACCGTCGTAATAAAGATATCGTATCTTTTCATATCAAAACTTACAAGATTCCAGCTGTCAGGAAACATTTATTGTCAGAAAGAGAGGTCAGGCATTGGCACAGGCTGCCCAGGGAGGTGGCAGAGTCACCATCCCTAGGGGTGTTTGAGAACCGTGGAGGTGTGGCACTGAGGGACATCGTCTGGGCACAAGTCAATGCTTGGACTTGGTGACCTCAAAGGTCTTTTCCAACCTAGAAGATTCTTAAATCTTTTCTGAACTGGCTAAGCACAGATTCTGCTGCACCTCATTCAGTGCAATTGGGGGTACAGGTAAATTTTGAAGCGCTAGGTCTGCTCAGCCTCCTTTTCTTCACCTCTGATGATGCACAGCTTGCTGATCTCCTCCTCATCAAGGTCTCTGATGCTCCATTGCTGCAGATTTGGGTTGCTTTGGACACACAACTGCTGTGCTTGCTGATGCCTTGCCCCAGGCCATAATGCATGTTGGGCTCTCCCTCCCACCTGCTGAAAAGCTGTGTGACCCTCACAGCGACCCCCACTTTGATTAATCGCCTTTGTAAAATCTTTCTTCCTAATACAGCGTTTCTTTGTTGGAGAGACAAAACTTCAATCTTGCAGTTTTAGAAAAGGACAAGCTGGCCTTTAAAGCAAACAGATCAGAAAAGGACCCCTGAGAGGCACTTTCTGAGCTGCCGCACAATTTCGGCCCTGCTTGCAGACGCTGAGAAGATGTGCTGAACTATCTGGGGGCAAAGGGCTGCTCTTGATTGCCTTCTGAGATCTCAAACTCAGTAGCTGCCTTGCCAATTCAATACAGCCATGCTTTGGTGCTTAAGAAAGCATTCCTGAGGACTTGCCTTCCTTTCTTCTTTTCAGAAAGGCATTAGCCATGAAGTCAGCAGAGAAAAGGCTGAAAACATGATTTTAATGCACCTTGAAGTCTCAGAAACCAGGACAAAAACAACTCACCCTTCTAGCGCTCCTCTGTTTTGGCACACCTGATTTCAGATTTCTGAATATTCAGGACTGATAACACTGCTGGATGTTTTTCAGCCTGCACAACAATGCTCTTGGGGTTGATGTGATTTTAATAGCAACCAGCCACATCTGCACCTGCGGGAGCTCAGCAGGGCTGAAGGCTGCACAGAAGGAAGCAGCACCTTGCAGATTTGTCTGAGCATCTGCAGCACGGGAGCAGCCTGCTCGATCACAGCCTGCAGGAGCACAGACAGTGGTGCTCTGAGCCTGTGCTCGGCAACACCTGCAGAGCCATGGGGACCCAGTAAACACAGGTTTCCTGCCTTCTGGAGCTGCTTTCATTTTGTTTTCCTCAAGTCGATGTCAGTCGGTAGCAATGTGAATGCAGTAACGGGGAATTCAAAACCTCCAGCCCCTGTCTGCCGTCAGTTCCATCTCTGCTGCTTTGTAGCTGTCTGCAGGACATTCCTCTGGCCTCACAAACACCGGCTAGCTGCACAGACCCCATAAACACCTCCTCCTCTAGCATATGTATTACAAAACACACCACTTTGTGCTGCTCTCAGCCAGCCAGCAGCTCAGCTCCTTATGTAAGCTTGGGCAGAGATCAACATTTGTTGCTTCTATTCCTTTCCAGCAGCGTGAATTGGCGAATAGGAGGTCCCAAGTTCTTCCCTTTCCAGTTGAGTCTCATTTCAGTTTACTCAGAACCAAGGGTGGCTGAAAGGCTCTCTGAGGGAAGGTTGGGTGAAACAAAGAGCTGGAAAAGAGCTGGGGAAACATAAGTTAAATTTCCTCATCTTGCACAGATATCCTCTCATGACATGGAAGGAACTGCACAATATTTTCAGCCCTTACATTCTCAGTAACGCAAGAGGTACAAGGAGATTTCCATCATTGCTCTTGCCTCCAGCACTCAGTGCTTATTCACAGGACCTCAGGATGTCACAGCTCTAAGCATAGTGAGAGAGCTCACTGCTAGCAGGGAACAAGCCAGGAAACACAACTGTTACCATTTCACAATCAGAAGTTCACTGTTAATGGTAGCTTTGGGGTCTGCATCCAGCAAGAAATATCCTGATTTTCCAGTATCTTTCAACAGCCACTAATGCACAGGGAAGATCCACTTCCCAGAAACTAGCAATAAATAAATCCCCTCATTTTCCATTCTGAACTTTACCTGCCCCTGGACCACATTTAATACAAAATATTTTAATTAGAGATGGTTAAAAGTCAACTTGATTATTCACGAAGCAGGTATTTTCTCCTCTTCTGCTGCCTCCTTTGCTCTGCATAATCACCATGGTCATTAATTTTAAATAGCGCTAATTATTGTCTTTTGGACTTTCACTAGACATCTCACCCATCTGCACTGGCAAGACCTAAACATGAAGAAAACAGGGTTTGAGTCTTGTCAAAGCCAAGGAGGACAGCAAGGGAGAATGTGCTAAGATACACCCAAGCTGGTGAAGAGGAGGTGTGAAAGGCACCATCTGGATAGCCTGCATCACAGGGCTCAAAATGAGGATAGATAACATTGAAGTGGCAATATTATTACTCTCCTTAAGGGCAGCCACAGCAATTTGAAGTTTAGCATTTCAGTGAACCATTAAAGCGGCAGGCTTGGGTCAGACCAAGGGGTCCATCCAGCCCCACATTAGCACAGTAGGTCAGGACAGCCGTACAAGAAACCCATGGAGAAAAGCTTCTCCCACTGCTTGCTCCTGGCCACCAGCAGCAGTGCTTTCAAGTACTGCCACATCTTAGTAGATGCCCCACTTCTACCCAGGGAGGTGGTGGAGTCACCATCCCTGGAGGTGTTCAAGGAACGTGGAGATGTGGCACAGAGGGACAGTGGGCACAGTGGGGATGGATAAGGGTTGAACTTGGGGATCTTAGAGGTCTTTTCTGACTGTAAAAATTCTGTGATTCTTATAAAACCCTCCATGCATACAAGCATTTGCTTTCACAGCATTTCTAACGTTCTGGAAACCTGCTTACTTCCTGGAGGGAACACCTGAGCTAAGGAAGCCCACCTGTTGCTTGTCTATGGAGAAAGACGTGCTAGAATGAAGATATCACACAGAATGAGAAGCTAATGCAGGGTAAGAGACCGGTGATATTCCATCTCTGTTATTCAAAGATAATGAGCCCAACATCTTTCAAGACAAAAACCCCTGTCCAAAATCAGCCAGACTCTGGCTCATGTTAAATTAATAGATTTTAGGACAAAAAGGAATTATTAGCTCTCCTCCCATGACAAGCTATGCTCAGTATTGAGGTCAAGCTAAACAAATCCATTCCAAAGCCCTGATGTCACAGCACAACTGAAATGGACTCTTTTTGTTATCTCTGTATTTGCAGAAAACTTCCTTTCATCCCTGGTCATTTCTTTGTGCCAATTAGTTGCAAATGAGGGAAGAGGTGGAAACTGCAGCATCTTCCGACAAAATCTGTCTGCTGTTAAATTTACAGCTCAGATTTACACACCTTAAAAAATTCTCACACTTCAGGGAAGCCAAGGACAAACTTGAATATGTGAAATGAACCACCAAACCTTTTGAATTTTTCCCGGCATATGCATGGAAGACAGCTGCCAATCTCAGTATACATCTACTTAGACTGCTCTTCAGAAATATGGAGTAGCTATTTTATAACAAAATCTTGCTATGATTCAACTGAAGCTTCAGTTTCTGCATTCGAAGACTAAATATTGGTTACACAAGGAGAATTTCGGCCCAGATTTTCCAATGCTGATCACGGCATCGATTCGCTCCATTAACTGTGATGCCTTTGGTTTGTCATCTGCATCTGTTGAAGTGCTGAACATAAATATGGAATGCTGCTTGCAGAAGCTGGGATATATTTGATGAGCACCAAATCCAGCTGCCACTACCAATGATGATTTCCTACAGAAAAATCAACCCATGACACCAGTCAGGCCATGTGGGATGGGAGAGAAACTCCACAATCCAAATTTGAGGTTGGACTTGATGATTCTTGAAGATCTTTTCCAACCTGATTAATTCTATGATTCTCATCATTTTTGGTCTTAGGGGTGTACATTTCAAACCTTGCTGATGTCTCACATACTTCCTACTTTGAACACAGGAACGCTGATTTGTTGAGCTGCTACCAAATCGTGTTTGCAAGCTGGAATCCAAATAGGAAAAGTAAAAATAAAACAAGCCAAGAACACCTAGTTGTCATAGCTTTGCTGCTAAGCTTTCTCCAGTTAAATTCAAGCTCAGCTGAAGGAGAAATGCAGCTTTTCTCCTGTTTCCCTGCACAGGGCTCCTCTACAAGTAAACATTTAAGAAACAATCTCTCTCCCCCTCTCTTGCTTCCTACCATTGTGATTTACAAGGCGAAATTAAAGATATACACATCCTAGAACTTGGGGTTTTCCATCTTGGGTCTCTGATTTATAAAAGCTGCCAGTGGATTTTAAATGCTTCATTTTGATTTAGAAATTGTTGCTTCCAAGTTGCATTTATCTCAAATATTCAGCTGTATTGCGCACCGCTGAATATCTGATTTATGGACTGCAAAATGTATGCAGATAGACTACAAAACATTTATAGATCACTCCCCTAATAACAATACATGCAGCTCACCACCCTAAACATACACAAGTACTCACACACGTGTAAATGTATGTATGTGTATATCTCACATCTTTATATTAAATCCTTCTCCCCTTAATTGCCTTTCTGATGGTGAGATCAGGTACCATGTCAATATATAATGAGAGGCTCTGTGATGTCTTCCTTCCGCCCCCTCACCTTATCATTCCTGCTAACACGTAGAAAATTCAGCTTTAAGCACTATTTCCAGCTCCCCAGGTGCTTTTTTCTCCTGCTGCTGCCATCAAAGGCAGAAGCTGAGCCCAGCACGAGAGCCTTGGAGCTGCACAGTTGCAAAAGTGGGCTGAGTAATTGGGGTGGGAGTGCTGCTGTTGTCCTCTGCCCTCGCCATGCTTACCTCTCCCTTCCAGAAGGAAATACTATAGACTAAATGGAGCCATGAGAGCACTGCCTTCCTTAAATCTGAAAGGGGAAGACTTGCTTTTCCTTCTAGATTCACACAAGGAACACTGGAAGAAAAAGAGAAAGAGCAAATCCTTCACAGGAGGAGGAGCAAGTTTTACAACAGCTTCACTTTCTCTTCCCAACTCTGTGTCTTTGAAAGCTAACAGTTCCTTATCTTTCCCATACAAAGCACATCATCTGCTAACAGCATCACACCGTGCCTCATCACCTACTGGTTTTTATTAAATAAGCCCAATGGTAGGAAGAAGTTGGGTCCCACTGTGTCAGATCTCTGGCCATCCAGCCGCCTTTTCCAAAGAGCTCAATCTAAATCACCAGTTTTACAAGTAGCTGAGCTGGGGAAGTGATGAGATGGTTAACAAGTGCATGGAAGAGGTGCATGCACTATTCAGTCAGTCGGCAGCTCTGGTTTCACATCTCCCCATCCATTTAGCAGTTTTGAGCTCCAAGTGCTTTACATGATTCACGGGCAGGACAGCCAACGTCTGGATGTTCTGCTGGACAGACGATTTGTTTTTGAAGGAAGGAGGCATAAGGTGGCTTTGGCCAGGTACAAACCCAGCAATTTCCCCATACTTCCCTATTTGCTGGCTCCCTCATGACCTCCACCAATTCAGCTACTTGCTCCTGTATCCTCCTTCCTGATTGTCATAAATAATTTAGTCATTTGAGTTGGAAGGAACCACTAACGGCCAATTCCCATGCAATGAACAGGGACACCTGCAGATCAGGTGCTCAGAGCCTCATTCAGGCTGACCTTGTGCTCCTCCAGGGATGGGCATCCACCAGCTCTATTCTCACTATTCTCACTATCCTCACTGTAAAAAACCTTTTCCTTCTATCCAGCTGCAGGATTGATGCCCCTTGTCTGCCTCCTGGAAATGCTCTGAAGATTGATTTCTCCCATAGAATGCCTTGAGACTGCTAGGCAAAAGGCGAGGAGAGGTATGAAAAGGGTGCTTGGAGCATCTTGACACTGTGCAAAGGAGCAGAGCAAGGACAACCCAGGAAATTATTTTTGAAGCACACCCTGATGCTGACTGCTCCGTGCAGGTATTAACCATGTTCTCACAATGAAAATGTAGGTAGCCTAGTCACTGACAACTGTCTGTAGGCTGAAGGTTCACTGTGCTCTCTACTACACCAACCCAGACTTGTGCTGTTGAAGCTCCTCTCATCTGCCAGAGGGGTTTTCTTGATTCGTCATTGTGGCACACTGTGGTCCGTTCCATACAATCACAATACAGACTATCCTTCATACAGTCCAAAGGGATAGGACTTACTTAAGGCTAAGATAGAGAAGTTCTCAAGGTTGGAAGTTCATCTCCTAAAAGCTGTCGAGAAGAGAAAACGCACAGGTGGAGTGAAGGGAGGTGAAAGCACATGGGGGAGAATTATTTGCAACTTTCTGTATAACAAATTCCCTATGTACATTATGTTTAGAGAGTATTAATGGGTATTTATACAGCCAGAAGGCAGGTTTATGAAGACACTCCATAAAATATTGAGCAGAGATAAATAATAATAAAAATATAAGGGAATCCATTATCTGACTTAAACTAAGGTAATTAAAAGCTACGCATTTCAGCTGCCAAAGTGGTAATTCAAGTCAAACTGCAACTTTGCAGACATATTTCCATTAACGCCATCAGTTGTGAGTCATATAATTTCCTGTTCATTGAGCACTGCTTACCTAATTTCACCTTTTCCTTAATCATATACATTACCTAGTTCTCCAAACAGCTGTGCAATTTAACTAGGCGTGGTAAAACCACACTGATTAGCCTGCCTGCAATTTTGAACATGCAAAGCAAAGCACATAACATGATCCTTAAAAATAAAATAAAATAAAATAAAATAATTGAAATTTAGGACAGCAAAGGGATTTGGGGCAATGGCCTGAAAGGTTGCAATTATGATAATCTGCTAGGAAGGCTAAAGATGAAGCTCTTTATTATTCTGTAACAATTTTTTGGGTAGTATTTTATTGCCAATAATTACACAGGTTTCTGTTCTATTTTCATTGCCTCAACATCTCCGAGGTTAATTATGTTGTCAAGATTGCGTCAAAAAGCCACCACTAAAATTATGCTTCTCATTACATGATGATCTAATCAATTCCATGCGGTAATTTTGGTCCAGCCTGTTCTACCAACATACACATCTTGTACATGGAAAAATCTATTTCTCTGTCACACTGTATTATACTGGTTTCCTTGTGCCACTACAGCTAAGAGCCTGTCAGCAGCTCTGCTGCAACCTCTCAGATCATTTCTGGCTGACACTTGACAGGCATTTTCATTACAGAGCCCAATTATATTTACTTGGAATTTCGGTTCCATTTGAATAGACAGAATCAAGTCTCATCTGTTATCCCAAGAGCTGTTAAAATTAGAGCTTGATCCAGGAACCAGAGCCATTAATCTAAAACACTCCTGGAAAAGAAAAAAAACGCCTTGCTTGATAGTTAGCTCTGCAGATCAGGGCAACACCGCCTTTACACTCTGTCCATCACTTAACTAAGGGCTTAGAGAGCTGAACTACATCTTGTTACCCAAGCACGCAATTATTGGAGGATCCATGCCCTAGCAAACCTCAGAAGATGAAATAGAAAAATCCCTAACGAGTAGCTAAAATAACCTTGCTCCATGTGAAACCCTCCTATTGTTGGTAAAGATCAACAGCTGTTGTTTAAATAAATGTATAAGAGGTGATGTATAAAAATGGAAGGCACACCTGAGTAGGCACGTCTGAGGATTGGCCATAGGTGAAAACATAAAATAAGAGTTCAGAAGTCTAGAGGTGGCCAACGCAAAAGAGAAAAAGGCAACTGAACTTTCCATGTTTTTCATTCCTATAGTTAACTAGCTGTGCTTCTGCCTGCAAGCCTTCATCTTATGTTTGCTATCTACAAACATTTCAGTGGCTGGCTTTCTACTGCCAAAAATATTTCAGGGAGGGGAATTTTAAAATGGCATATGTGAATATGCATAATGACAATGTTTTAAAACATATCTGCGCAGGAGTTTTTGCTCCAGAACAGCTCGCCTGATCAGTAGTCAAAAATAATGCTTTGTGGCTTACCAGGCATATCTCAGAATGAATGACAGAGATTCTGTCACAGACCTGCAGCTCTAGAAAAAAAAAACACAGAAAGATGGAAGCAACCAATCCATGGGAGAAAACTGTGATATGCTCATGAAACACAGCTGCTCCCAGCAGCAGCGAGGCTGGGTTACGTTCATAAGCAAAGGCCAAAATAAGGCTAAAAGCATTGCTCCAGTCCCACCTACGTTCCACCAAGACCCAAAAAGTGCACAGAGCTTGGCGTAACGCACGCAGAATGCATTCCATTTGAACTGAATTATTCAGCACAAAAAATATTTTCGGAGATGTAATTACTTTGGCACGCTTTGTTCAAAGAGGAATACAGGTGGAGAAGTTGGTGAGATCCTAATCTCTTTGATCACGATGTGCTCGTCTCTTGCAATCCCTAAACAGCATGCATAATTTAAAACACATGTGATTTCAAAGTAGAATTCCATACATCTATACAAATACGAAATCGTGCAGTACCATTTACAAAAGGTGGGTCAGATCTGCATGGCGCAGCCTAGCTCAAATGAATTCAGACAAATTATCAAAGGATGCATTAAGCAAGGATCAGGCACGAGCAGTAGCTCTCCAGATCTACTGCTGGCAAGGTACAGATTTAAACAGGCTTTGCATCTGATAACAGTTTGAGCTCTCATATAAGAACAGAAGCATTCCCCTCTTGTTGCACTCAGAACGAAAAGAAAAATAAAGAAGAAAAAAACCCAAAAAAACAGGTTTATTCAATACCTGCTCTGAATTCCTTTAAAATGCAGAGCGTTTATGTAAAAAATAGGCAAAACAAGCTGTTGGAAGCACTCGTAACTTTTTTCCAGTCCATTTCTAACACTGTGCGTATGCTGCGAGCTGCCCTTTGCCCCATACCTCTACTGCATCTTGCTCCAATGTCTCATCCCTTGGTACAACACTGCACTGCAATGGGAAGATGTGTTGCCTTAGAGCACTCTTGAAGAAGCCTGGGCCAACGAACAGACCACCTTCTCACCTCCTAAAAAAGAGGAAACCAAACTTAATATCTGCTGAGGTTTGACATGCATGATAAATGTGCTTCATACAGAGAAGCAACTCACAGTTCTTTCTGTTTAGCCAATGCCTCCATAATTTTACAGCTGATAGTCAATCACCACTGAAGGGTGAACAGTTTGCTGTGTGGATTGGCTAAGATGCCTATTAATCAACCAGATTAAAAAGACGTTGGCAAATCTCCAATAATTATGCAGCGTAATTAAAAGGATGGGAAGCCTGATTTAGGACTTATTAGCCCTCTAAGTCCTTCATTAGCCATATTAGCTCTCTGCATTGGATTCCGAAGGGAAAATATTAATGTTGCATGGTGAGTCAGAAATATTTGACCAGTACTTTTAAATATTAAGCTTGCTCCTAAATTTAATGACCTTGGGAATATCAGTGCATAAAACCAAAGGTTTTTGCCCTGTAGTCTTGAAGTGGAGAGAAAAGCCATACATTTTACACATAGGAAATAGCTTTTTTCATAGGACTGAATTGGAAATCATGATGAACAGCCCATTTTATCCTAATTGGTGTTTCCCTGTACCTCCTTTCTTCTGTCTTTAAAGTGGACAAAGGATACTGACCTGGTGTAAGGAAACATTTTGATATATCCCTTCATTCTTTTTTGTTTTTCCCCCACCATATGCACATTTACATTTTTCAGGTATATATTAACTTCCAAACAGTAGGAGAGAAAACAGGCAAATCAGTGAATCTGCCTTCAAAAAGGCAATCAGGACTCCAAGAGTATCATTACATAACCTTGCAATGTGTTTGTCCCCCTTCTACAAGAATCAGGCGATCTCTTCAGATATGCCACTAAAAATTAAGATGATGGAGGCAAATGTAGATGACAAGGGCAGAGTTCACAGAAGCTGTCCTGTAAATTAATCTGCTTTCCTGTGTGCAAGAGCTATGAAAGAAAAAGATAGTTCACCCCAAATTTTTAATGCTAAACAGATGGGATCAACGCCCTGAGGTGATGATAACTGTGAAGATGTGGAAATGATGTCAAGAATCTTTGGAGATCTCAGGTTGCACCCCATTTGTGGGTAGAGAGAGTGCAACCTGTGATCAGCCCAGTCACCTTCACACAGAGATCACCCAACTGGGTTCAGTTTCTGTTCTGCAGCAAGGGATTGTACCCTCCCAACGTTTAAGAGGAAGAGCTGCAAATTGTAGGACACAGATGTCAACCCAGAGAAGCTATTACTGCACAAACAGCATCTGGCACCTTTTGACAGGCTGCATAAGCAGATGCCATTGCACAAATGCCAGTACTTCTCAAGTGGCTCACCCAGTGTGATACCAACTGGCTACCTTCCTGGTGTGCTCCCAGCTGCCAATGATTCTTCAGTGCAACCTTCTCACCTTTGAGCAAGAACTGACATACAGCTTTAAAGCTAAGGGAGATCTGTCTTTTTTTTTTTTCCTTCAATAAAAATAGATGTCTGCTGGGTTAATAGCCACTGTGCTGTAGATCAGCAGCTCCCAAGTGTCACCTTCTCATTTTCCCTGCTGTTCTCCCAGACTGCACTGGAATCCCAATCTCTTACCTGGAGCACAACTGGACACCAATAAAGCCCCCAGAGGAATTTCTCACATTGTCATTTCAGGTATCCATCCACACTGCAGTCACATTAATTAAGCAAGCACAATAGATTTGTACATAGGAGTTCCCACCTAGACAGAGGCATATCCAGGCTCTATAGTTGATGCTATAGTTGACTTTGTTTTTCTCTGTCATCCCACAACTCCGCTTTTTCTTTCATCTCTATTTAGACCACAAGTTGTCTTGGACAGGTATTGGCACAGTCCCTATTTGCAAGGTTCTGTTCTTTAGTTCTTAATGAACTTATCATTGCAATCTATCTCACATTTGCTGAGAAAAGCTTCATTACACGATAAGATAGAGGTGTTCTTGTCTGTCAGGACCTGTTGGAACAGGAACTGAAGACAGTCATCAAAGTGCACTCTGCCACTACTCCACCCATCACTGCAGCATTTAGGCTGCTGTACCCTGTTATGAAACAACTGCCTGTCCTCCAGCACATCTGTAAAATGAGAAACTCCTCCTGTCTTCCTCCTTGATGGAGCTTTCCACACCTGATGAATTAGTATTTTGGCTGGGCCAGCAGTAAGCTAATCAGAGCTGCTTGTTTCTAAAAGCCTCTAAAGCAAAATCCAGATTGCTGCTTGTCTCTGTTTCTCTGCTGTGTTGAGGCACCACTCTTCCTAGGATGACTCTTTTCTACAACACAACATCCCTGCTGCAAAACGTGAAGGGATCTGTTAATTAAGTCAGATTGCCAGTGGCTCCTGGTGGGGAGGCAGCTGCACTGCATGTTCCAGTGTTTTAAAAGCATCCTGGTGTTCAAGAACATTGCTGTTTTTCGTATGGTAGCTTCCCAAACACCATTAAACAGACTGAAACAGCACATTTGGTCATCTATCTCATTACAGGTGATCAGGTTGTACTGGAAACCTACGGCTGCACAGCACACATAGATTGTATGATGCTTCCTTCCCTTCCATTCTTCCAAGTGGGAAGCAACGGTCCTGGTTTTCAAGAGTTTACAGCCTAAATACATGCAGAATGTAAAACAAACAAACAAACAAAAAAACCAGCTAAAATCAATCAACAAATAGATGGGGTAAGAAGTACAAGGTCCAATTATTTTCAGTGTTTCAGATAGAGCCAGCTGCTCTGCCATCAGTTGCACTTAGACTCTCACTACAGCTTCATCCCTTTTGCTGATGCATGAAAAGGTCAACCCCCGAAAGGTCCTGAGGCCAACAGTTCCAGCTGTAGAAGAACTGTTGCCTTTGTCACTGCGGAAAATCGCCATAGAGCATACAAAGAAAAACGTTTCACAGCTCTGGCCAAGCTTTAGGATGCAAGGGAGAAAGTCAGGCATCGCAATACCGCCTTGATTCTAAGCAGCAGCTGTCCCAGTTAGGTAGGTCAGAGCTTGCTCAGCAATGTCTCCCGAGCAAAGATAGGACAAAGTTGCCTTCAACCACCTTGGGACTTATGATGGAAGAGCAACAACACAGGCACTGTCACAGAGCTGGCACTGACAGTGGAAGGAAGAAGGCGAATTATCAGATCGCTACAAAGGGTCTTCACAGAGAGAAAGAAGGATTTTTTTGGAGAAACTGGGCTGCTGGAAAGGGGTGGGAAGGGCACTGGTTGATAACTAGGTGCAGCAGAAGAGGTGATGTTGTAAGCTGTGATAACCTTTTGAAATAAGGTCATGTAGTTGCCTGCACAGGGCAGCTGCAGTCCAGAGCATAAACTTGATCGTTCTGTTCTGACTGCCTTATGTCAGTAGTGGCAAAACACGTTTGCTCAGCTGCTGGAAGGACAAAAAACAGGTTCACTTGATGTCTCCACAATCACAGAGATAAAAACAGATCTCTTACAGCACCTCATTAGGATCCATTGCTTTCAGTTCGTCTGATGGAACTGACACCAGGGCGCAGGCAATTCCAGTTCTGTCTTAGTGCAATTGCTGTGAATTTAAAATTACGTGTAGATATGATGGGAATAAATCTTTCTCATCTTCGAGTCAACAGAGGAAAAACCATGCGAGTTAAAAAACACACTAACAGCTCAAGGAATCCTCAACCAACTAAGCCCCTCAAAACTTTAAACTTACAGTCACCTATGCGAACTGAAAACTCCAGGTTCAGTTTGGTCCTGACACAGACATGCTTTCTTGTTACTGGCAACACAATGTCAGAGAATCTCCAACACGATCGATTAATTATAGAATCATTAAGGTCAGAAGAGACCTCTACGATCATCTGGTCCTAATGTTCACCTACCACCAACACTGCCTGCTGACCACGTCCCTAGGTGCCATCCCCTCCATGGCTCTGGAAGGATCCTCCAAGGATGGTGACCTCACCGTCTCCCTGGGCAGCCTGTGTCAGTGTCTGACCACTCTTTTGGAGAAGAAGTTTAAAAAAATAAAGATCATGAAAGCCTTTGGAGCAGGAACACTCCTACATAAAGTTCACAGTGTTGAGTGTCCAACCTTTTGGCTACCTGGGCTGCACTGAGTGAAGAGGAATTGTTTTAGGCAACATATAAAATATATTATATAGTTAATTTCTATAAGTAACAAAACTTCTATTACTTTTTTAATGTTTCTTTTTTTTTTTTAATTATTATTTTATTATTAAAGCATAAGAAAAAGAAAGTGAGAAAAAACATAAAACCAATGGGTTGGATCTACACCTTCCTTTCTCTGGAACATTAAAGAGGAGGACACGGAGATGATTGAGCTTTTCACTTCTATGGTTCACGTGACAAGATACTACCACATAGAGTCTCATTTTCATTCTGTTCCCAAAATATTAAGATGGGATAATAGAGAGTTAAACAGTCCTTATGGAACCCCACCACTGTGGAGGCAGACAACAGGGAATGTTGTGACGTTAGGCTAAATAGCTGAAGGCAGTGCACTTTGATACAAGTAGATCAGTGCTCCTCCTCGTATGTCATTCGCTACAAGGGAAAGGCTTAATCAGCAAGGCAAGGGCAAATGAGATGCAGAATCTGAACATAGCCTTCTCTTTGCACTGAACAATAGGGAACCCTCCAGCTGAGGAGAGGATAAAGCAGAAAGTGCCAGTGATGCTGCTCTGAGCCCATCCTATTCCAGGCAGAGCACCTGGATTTTCAGTTAATAAATTGCAGCCAGGAGATAACTGCTACTATTACAAATAATTGCCTGGAAAAAAATGCATTAGGGTAAGAAAATACAGAGCACATAAAAGCTCTCGTTAACATTCTTTATACATGCTTATCATGAATTTTATACAGGGTTAAATATATTTTCTGGTGACTAACACTGCAAGGCTGAGGATTAAAAAGGATAATGTACAATGTGATTTATGAAGTTTTAATGGAAAATCCCCATGGGTTGTGTATAAATCTTATTTATAGCTTTAAAAGTATGTAATATA